GCAAACGAAAACAAAAACCTAACAACAAACCCAACCACAACCACAAACACCAATACCAACCAATAACAACACAAAAAAAAAACGAAAAAGCAAACGAAAACAAACCAAATCCAAACGCAAAACCAACCAAAAACACAAATACAAACCCAAAGAAAAAAACACAAACAAAAACAAAATAAACCGGGAGTGATCTCCCCTAAACTTTCTCGAATATTCTTATATAAAACAACAGGGGATGGGAACTCGGGTTATAGTTATGATTTTTAATCCATTTTAAATACATAAACTTTTTAAAATAAAATAGAATCTCATAGAAAAAAGTATTGCACACCAAGCGAACGCCAAATAAAGATTTTCATAATGGTGCGCAATATTATTAGTACTTTATAAATTTAGATGCGTTTTTGAGAAATCGGAAATAGCGTAAATTAGTACTTCCCGTCAACGGAAATTACTCAAAATTTAACAGAAGGTAGAGAATTAGATTTTTTACTTACATGTGAAATTTCATTTATCTATCTGAAATAGTACTCAAGTTATAGGCTTTTGAAAAATTAAAAGTAGAAAAAGTACCACTTCCGGTTATCGGAAATCGCTCAAAAGTGGATACGGATCTACGATTTTGATAAAATACTTATATATGAAATTTCATCAACCTAGCTGTAACGGTACTCAAGTAATCGTGTTTACACACACACACACACACAGACACACAGACATACGGACACGATTGCAAAATTATGTTTTTCCGTATCAGTGAGATGTAAAACGTCGAGATTTGCAAAAATCTCGATTTTTTTTTTTTTGCACGATTACAAGACTTTCTCTATACTTCGTATATACGAGAAAGTAAAAAGAAAGAACAAAAACGAACCAAATCAAACCGCAACCACTAACGCAAACCCAACCTAAACACAAAGAAAACACTAACGCGAACATAAACGCAAAGTGCTCACAGTCTAGCCTGGGGCGGAATCACCTGTTTTAGCTTAATAAACGACTATAGTACCCCAACTTATTCATAGTCTTTTGCACTCACTTAAACGAACGCGCCTGTTTCAATTTAATGAACAATTATAATACTCCAAGCCTATCCGTAAAATACCTACAACATTTGCACTTGATCAATCCCCGCTAATTATGTAATTATTTTTTTCCCAACACCAAAACAAAGTAATAATAAAATACTTTAAAAAAAACTTTTTTAAAAAACCACGTTTTTCTTGTGGACTAAAAAGTAGAAAATAAATTTTTCTTTTGTGCTTCCTCGAGCTGTGCAGGTTCTTGTGATGACTGACAAAAAACGTGGGTACGTTCACCATCAAATTTCCCGACCCATCTGCCCGACCCACGTTTTTTGTCAGTCATCACAAGAACCTGCACAGCTCGAGGAAGCACAAAAGAAAAATTTATTTTCTACTTTTTAGTCCACAAGAAAAACGTGGTTTTTTAAAAAGTTTTTTTAAAGTATTTTATTTTCTCCTTTTTAGTCCGTTGCTACACATGAAAAACTTGGTTTTTAAAAAGTTTTTTATATAGTTTATTTTGCTACTTTATCTAATGACTTGATTAAGTATAACTTGACTAAGTGTTTATAAATACACGGACTAAAAATCTTGAGCGACCGCTACGTTTTAAACAGAGAAAGGTCGTAATTTAATTAAGCCTACATGCCGTGACCAGGATTCGAACCTGGGTTGTCGCGGCCACAACGCGAAGTACTAACCACTATACGATCACAGCCAGCGCGCTCACATCGATTGGGGCCGAAGTAACTGTGTCAATAGGCCTCCAGTCTTGTCGGTATGTTTAGAAATCATGTCCTCGATTTTATGGTCCTTGGGGCGTAATTTAATTAAGCTAATTTAGGTCTCTAATTGCTAGTTTTTATGATTGCATCTGAAATTGTTAGGCGAAAATAGCCTGCATTCCAAATTTCAGATCTCTAGAGCAATCAGAAGTGGGCTAATTTTCGATGTCAATTTTAACAACAAACATCCAAACAAACGCGAAGCTGAGTTAAGAAAAACGTGTTAAAATAAAAAGTAAATTCTTTTCCACTAATGCAATGGTTTTATAAAGGGAAGTAATTGTGTTTTCCTAATTTATCAAAAGGAAGTAAGTGCTATAGGACTAAATAAAGACATAATTAGAATTTTTTGTAAAAGATGATATTTTTTTTTAAACTTGTGTTTAATGAACATGCCGAAAATTATTACTTTCAGTTTGATAAATGAAAATTATTTCCCAAAACTTTCAATATTAATTTTTTAACTCATAAATTTAGACCATAAGGACTTTAATTATCTAACACTTAAATCCATCGAAGATCCACGACAAACATATGTGTTACATACCGAATTGAGCTTTATATATTAGATTTTCAGTGCATTTAAAAGCTTGTTGCTGTAAAGTGTTTTTTTCTATATTTGTTACATTTTCTACTTTTTAGTGATTCCTAATTTATGAAATTGACACGACTAAAAATATTTGCTTCATCAAAACAACATCAGTAGCTCGCGATATCTGAAACATAATTATATTATATACCCCGTGAATGCAGCCGTCTGTGACTACACTTTACAGACATCAGCAAGCAGATAGAGTGAAGGATAGTTCTTATTCTTAATACATCCCCTTAGTTTCAAATAGTTTAAAAACGTTATTATCTGCCCCTAATAGCCTTTACTAAATCCACTGACTCTCAGAGGCGTGGCGATGGGGGGGGGGGGGAGCAGTGTTTCTTCCAGACTTTTTTCTCCGGGGGGGGGGGGGGGCCACTTGAAATTTTCGGGGGGGGGGGCGGTAGACTTTCTTCGGAGGGGGGGGGGGACGCGGACACTGTTAAAAGTATATATTTTTCATTTCGTTCGGGGGGGGGGGGGCGGTAACAATTTTTGGGCTTTGCCCCCCCCCCCCCCCCGAATAGATGCCTGGAAGAAACTCTGGGGGCGACGACCATAGGGGCGCCAAAATGGGTTGGAAAAAGTAATCAAAAGTTTGAGGGAGGGGGTGCAAATCGAAAGTTTGAGGGGTGTGTGCAAATCGAAAGTTTGTCCCCGAGCGCCGGGAAGGGTCGCTACGCATCTGCTATTGTATTTGTACATTGTCGTGAACCACAGCTCACCAGGAAAGGGTTATCTTACTGAATGTAGTAATCTATCGAGTGATTTAATTTTTTTTTATCCTTAGTTTCGTAACCGATTAAGTAATTTTTAATGACAAATTAAACATCTAATTAAATTTTAAAAATAGATTGACTTGTATTGTCATCGAAGTACAACATATCTGGAAAGTTTAAAGAAATCGCATCATTCAAAGTGGATCAAAATTGAGTTACAAGCTTTGCCACAAACACACAAACTAACAGATGTTGCGAACTAAATAAAAGCTTGTAAAAACAAACTGTTATCAGAAGTTTCTTGACTTGCTTCCTCACTCTTAGTGCTTTGTCCGCGAATGGCTAACTATATTTCAAACACTTCTACCAGACAGATTTGTTTTAAAGGGGGGGGGGGGGAGGGATAGTCGATGCCAATTGAATGTTGAATTAATTTTTAAAGAATGAATAAGGGTTTTCTTTATAAATTATTATTTTGAGCTTCACGGTGTTCACTTAGTGTGCAATTGTTTTTAGTCGTGCAATACTATTGTATTGAAAAAATTGGATATTGAATTTTCGTTCAAATAAAAACATTTTTATAACAAGCTTTTATATAAATTATAGCCATCCCTCCACCTAACTTTAACTGTAAATAATAATATTAGGAGTAGGCTTATTTACACTATTTACCATACACACAAATGTGTGTTTGGTATGACCGATACATACATGTCTTATAATACTTTTATATCTTTTTTATATTATCTTCCAAACAATATGAATTAATTATCACACACATATATATATATATATATATATATATATATATATATATATATATATATATATATATATAATATATACAAAGAGTTAAAGAACACACTAACATGTTAAATAAGGGCAGCAAACCACATACATTAAAATTATTGCCTTATCATTAATTAAACATTATTTCACTTACTGCATGAGAATTGACTATATCTCTTCTAAGTTTGATCTCATGAATTTGCTTAACTTGCCCTTTATTTTCCTAAAATTAAATGAAGAAAACTATTAAGTAGAATACATTTACATATTATTACTATGTACACGCTGGAAAAACAAACAAGCGATTCATGTTTCTTTCAGCTGACAATGATCTACAGAGGAGAACTATGAAAAAGTAAGAAGTAAAGTAAAATAATTTATTTCTTGTAGTCGATTCATATATTTGTAGGCAAATAAATTTAAACACATTTTTGTTACACTATTTGGTTATAGGTAATCAGTGGCGTAGCGAGGTCGGGTGTCACCTGGTGCGGCACTTAATGGTGTCACCCCCCAGACGCATAGATACCCATCCCAGGGACAAAGTTTCAAATTTTCGATTTGCACCCCCCCCCCCTCAAACTTTCGATTTGCACCCCCCTCAAGTTTTCGATTTGCACCCCCCCCCCCTCAAACTTTCGATTTGCACCACCCCCCCTCAAACTTTTGATTTGCACCCCCCCTCGAGTTTTTCTCTATATATTTTGCTATTTTTTGCCTTGGTGTCACCCCCCGTAAATGGTGTCGCCCGGTGCGGTCCGCACCCCCCGCCCCCCCCCCCTCGCTACGCCCCTGTAGGTAATAAGCTTTTGAACTAAAACATCCATATGGTGTGGGGGGGGGGGGATTTACCCTACCCAATTTTTTATGTAGGTTTATCTTTATGTAGTGTAAATATCTATAAAGACGAGAAAAATGGCCCGTTGAGGAAGGATACAACGGGCGCTAGGTTGATAGTGCTGTCTATTTTCTCGGTACTTTAATTTATACAAAATATAGTCATAGGCATATCCCTAAACCATGCACCTAATCTCATTCATGACAAAAGTCGCATTTAGAGTTTCTTTCAGGCAACTCTAATTGGGAGGAGGGGGCTTCGCCCCCCTCCCCCCCCCCCCCCTCCCACACTCCAAAACATGTCTACCGTCCCATTCAACGAAAAATAATTATATACTTTTTCCAGTGTCCGCCCCCTCCCAGAAAATTCTACCCCGCCCCCGAAAATTTCAAGTACCCCACCCCTCTCCAGGGAGGAAAAAGTCTGAAAGAAACACTGGTCGCATTTGTAGATCATACAAACTAAAGGAAGAATCTGGGCGGGGATTCGCCCCTACCGGAAGAGATGCTTGAAAAAAAAAAAACTGCACGCTAAACACTTTTTAGATTAGAAAAAGTTCCCCCTCCGGGGAGGAAAAAGTCTGAAAGAAACACTGGTCGCATTTGTAGATCATACAAACTAAAGGAAGAATCTGGGCGGGGATTCGCCCCTACCGGAAGAGATGATTGAAAAAAAAAACTGCACGCTAAACACTTTTTAGATTAGAAAAAGTTCCCCCTCCGGGGAGGAAAAAGTCTGAAAGAAACACTGGTGTCGCGCTTAGCCACTACCCGTAGAAAACAAACTCAAGCCGGAGAGTGCACACAGTAATATGACGTCATTGATTCTCGAGTAAACATTGAATAAAAAGGCAATTTTGTCTAATCTAAATGGTTTGCGTAAAGAGTTTCTTGCATACAATTCTTCGGGTAGGGGCGAAGCCCCATCCCCGCGTAAGAACGTCTGAGCCCCCCTCCCCAACTCAAAAGAAATTTCTTCATCGATACTCTATAATAAAATTACCGCCTAATTAATGTGTCTAATCTGAAAAGTGGTTTTCTTGCAATTTCTTTAATGCAATTCTTCGGGTAGTGGCTAAGCGCGACACCAGTGTTTCTTTCAGACTTTTTCCTCCCCGGAGAGGGGTGGGGGGTACTTGAAATTTTCGGGGGCGGGGGTAGAATTTTTGGGGAGGGGGCGAACACTGGAAAAAGTATATAATTATATTTCGTTGAATGGGACGGTAGACATGTTATTTGGTGGGGGGTGGGGTGGGGGTGGGGGGGTGGGGGTGGTGTGTGTGGGGGGGGGGGGGGTGGGGTGGTTTTAGTTTAGAGAAAAGAGACAGCACTATCAGCCTAGCGCCCGTTGTATCCTTCCTCAACGGGCCATTTTTCTCGTTAGTATTAATATGTATATATTTATATGTATGGGGCGAAAAAAATTACAAGCTTATTTTAAACAGTCAAAGGTAACAAATTTAACGGCTACGAGCCTTTGCATACTGATTTAACTGTTTTCTACTTTGATTTTGCAACTATAAAACATATACCCTAAAGAAACAAGGACCGAAAAAAACACTTTCCAGCTTTCCGAGATGGGAGGAGGAGGGCGTTTTTTCGAAGAATAAAATCGGAAAAATTTACACTGGATTAAGGAATAAATAACCGTTATCACTTAGAAAAGAAAACTATTGAACTAAAGCGTGTTTTATGATTGTGTAACATAAAAATACCCAGTTTTGCTAAGAAATGACGTGACTAGTTGTTTTTACGATTCTTACAATGATTGGATTACATCTTACATGGATAACTGAATTAAAAAGAAATATCACGGATTCTTGTATCCGACCACTATATACTAATATATAGACCAAAATATACTATCGGAGCGGGCGGGTGGAAGGCGACACTCTTTGTGCCGAAATTTTAAGAGAGAAGAAAATTAGTATATTGTAATGAATAGATCACTTTTTATAACACTTTTTTTCGTAACACTTCGTTCAACCTAACTGATAATTTAAAACTGTATCAAAATTGTTCTAAAGAAACGAACAAAAGTAGACCAAATAAGTTTGCACCTTTCTACAATCTACACTCCAAAGCACTGGTTCTTAACTTTTTGGAGGTACCGCACCCACACCAGTTTCATATGCACATTCAACAAACACTTCTTAATAGTTGTATCGTTCACACTAACAAAATAAATTATACAAGAAATGTGTAATCTCATTACATAATTAATTAGTTGATTTAATTATAGCTAAAGAAAATAAAGGGAGATAGTTTATTTATTTAATTAGTTTAAATTTATTAAGCCACGCCACACAACACTATGCGTGTGTGGTGTGTTGCCTGACCTATAAAATATATTATTGTTTTGAGTTTATATTTAACTCAATGCAACAAACCCACCGGTTGATTAAGGCCACACCTAGGGCTCGTTCTGCTACGTAATAAAGCAAAATTATTTTGCAACAGTAAAATATATGTTTGTGGCGGCAGGCGGCCACAGTGTTCCACACAAAAGAAATAAGTTGATCTATCGTCGGCGGTATTTCGGCGTTTTCGAATATTGAACAAGAGGTATTTTAAGTCGACACAAAAGATTGTGAAGTTGACAAATCACCAGAATGTCTAGCGATAGTGTAAACGAAACATCTTTGATGAAGTCTGCATCAAATATTTATTACTGTCAATCGGTCGCGATAAAATTTTCGCAGACAGCTTCGCATCCTACCACCACCCTACGTAAGTACAGGTGGTGGTAAAATGCGAGGCGAAAATTCACGTGACCGACGGTTTTCACGCCCTTCCTGCAGTTTACCGCATCGCCATTTCACAATTTCCCGACACCCTCCTAAGGACCATTGGCGTAGACAACACTTCGTCAACTCACTAGATTTTTATGTAGGTAGAACTCTAATAATCCATATATATATATATATATATATATATATATATATATATATATATATATATATATATATATATATATATATATATATATATATATATATATATATATATATATAAAGATATATATATATATATATATATATATATATATTTATATATATATATATATATATATATGTTACGGTCAAAGCCCGAAGTGCGGCCAAACCCCGGATTGGCCGGCCAATGCGCGGATTGGCCGGCTCTCTTGGCCAAAGCCCGAAGAACTATATATATATATATATATATATATATATATATAAATGTGTGTGTCTGTGAGTTTGTATGTCTGTCTTTTATGCATTACTACACCTTTCATCATATAGCCATGAAACTTTGAGAAGTTATTGAAAATAATCCTAGGGAGGTTTCTGCAAAAAAAAAAAATTTCAAATTCGCAGGGGTGGTGCCAGGGCAGGGTGCAACATAATGCAGCGGGCTATCTCGTGAGAGCTATGGCGCCTACGTTAGTTTTAAACAGTGCGATAGACTATGAATAAGATTGGGCATTTAGGCGTTCACTAAAGTGAATCAGAGGCGTTTGCCATCGTGTAACAGGTTGCAATTTGGTGCCCCTGGCTATTTCGGTAGCGCTATGCCGCATACGTTTGTTTTAAAGATTGTGATAGAATATGTATAAGAAGTAGTATTAAAGTCGTTAGGGGCAAAGCGCGTGGAATGCATGCAAGTTATAAATGAAAATTATTGTTTTCAGTTAACAAAAAGACTGTTGACAGAAATATTAGGCAATAAGTCCAATGTCTCGCAAACTAAGGCTCTGAACTGCATAAAATGCATAGCATATCAAAATAGTACATTTAAATTGAAATAATACTATAGCACACCTAAAGGTTAATGTTGTAACAGAGAATCTAAGCAGACCAAACAGTAGAAAATTTTAGAAGTCATTGTGCTTAGTAGCTTCTTACCATAATTGATAAAAACGTAAGAAAAAGTGACATCCTTGCCCAAATTATTTCAAGGAAGCCATGCATCTTCGTAATTGCAGGTTTGATTTTTTCCAACAAAGATGTATAGGTATTATCTGCATTTAGGCATTCTTGTGATTTATTTAATACCAGGTCTTCCACAATAGAAACCAAATAGACAAAGGCTGCTTCCAAATTTAGTCTTGTCACTTCCTGAGGAGAGGATACATTAAATTTGGTTTATGGTTCTTACTTAACCATATAATGGAACTTATTTTTAATATTTTAATTAATTAATTTTAAACTAGATTTAAATAGGCCTATTAGGGAAGATTTAATTATTTAATATAATTTAACTTCTGTTTGGAACTTTGAGACTACTCAAATCAGAGTTAATTGTGAATATCATACACTTTTTGAGGACAAAATTTGTCTGAACTTAATATTAAAAACAATTTTATCCAGTAAGTATTTTTTTCATGTAGAGGATCATTTAACACATGCTTATTATTTGTGGTAGTAAGTTTGAACTTTATTCAAATTTTTAAAATATTAAGTAACTGAAATAAATAAAACAAATATACCCAAGGCTCCATTGTAGGAGATTTAACAAAATTACTCCCAGACCACTTCCAATTTTGCTCAATACTTGGAGGTTGATTTTCAGACATGTTTCTAAGTGAAGCTAAATCTGCACCCTCACTAGTGTTGGCATTACGTTTAGCAGATAAATAAGCTTCAGATGCTTCTATCACAAGACTATCAGCGCATAAACCATTGATAACAGAAATCTGAAATTTTGGAATGCATTATGTAAAACATCTTAAAACTAATAACTTTTAGAGTGTATAAAGTAGGCCTACATTGTTGTTTCTTTCTCTTGTCACCTATGTTAATTAAGCTATTCAATTGGCATTGTTAGCATCAGGCCAACTATGAAATGTATGTATGTGTTTGTCTTTTATGCATTATTACATCGTTCATCCAATCGCAATGAAACTTGGGGGAGGTGTTGAGAATACTCTGGGGAAGTAACTGCAGAAAAAAAATTCAAATTCGCAGGGGTGGCGCCCTGGGAGGTTGCGATTTTTCTATATATAAATACAAGTCGGATGCGGTTCGACACCGTTCATCTGAGTGCCATGAAACTTTAGGGAATAGATGAGAATACTCCCAAGAAGATTTCTGCGAAAAGAAGAATTTCTTATAACCGGCGCACAGGATGCTTTTTTTGTCAATATCCGGTTTGATGCCCAGAGTTCCAGAGCGGCTATCATTACACCTGGTGTCCGTTAATAAAGCGTCCTGCATAGTGCGAAAGGGGTACTACTATATTCTGCGATAAAACAGACGAAGACACTGGTGCCCCGGTGATTGCATGTCCCTGAGCAACATGGGCTCTTGTGTGAGTACTATGGTACCTACGTTTATTTTTTTTAAAAAGTCTATATACTAAAGATACGATGGGCTACAGTAATATTTTATTTTATCGAATCAGGCGCAACCTACGGTGCCCCGCAGGGTGCTATTTGGCTCCTCGGGCTTTCCCTTGAGCGCTATGGCGCAAACGTTCGCTTTAAAGAGTGCGTATAATATGGATAAAATGTGGTATTATAGTCATTTACTAAAGTGAATCAGGCACGTACGCAGGCGCCCCATCATGGTGCGATTTGGCATCATAGAGCTCATGGGATAACCCGGGGCGCCGAATAGCACCCTGCCAGGGCGAAATGAATTTTTTTAGCAGAAATCTCGCTCACATGATAGTACGGGGCGTCAAATCGCACTCTGCCGGAGCTCCGGCAGACGCGGCTGATTCAATAAAGTGAAAGATTATTGTTGCCCATCGTGTTTTTAGTGCGTAGCCTTTTAAACAAACGTAGGTCCCCTAGTGCTCGCAGCGGGGCCCAGAACGCTTCGAGTTAGGGTTAATAGCTTATTAAAATCTTTTTTACAAACAATTTTGTCTACACTTAGAACTTTGTCTACACTTGCGACAAGTCATTAAACATTTTGTTATTTGGGCTACATGAAATGACAGTTTTAAATTCGTAGTTTCTGTTAGGTGGGTCTGTTTTCTGTTTTGTTTTTATTTTAATTGTATAAAACTTGTTTTAAATTTTATTTAATTGATCTCAGAAAAAGGCGCCACGATCCTTAAAATGGTCGTTGATGGAGCTGCTGCTCACCCCTCCTCCTGCATACCTTACGGTACAGAATATAAAAAATAAAAATCGGTTGCAGTTTAACACCCTTCATCTGAGTGCCATGAAACTTTGGGTCAGTTGATGAGTATACCCCCAAGAAAGTTTCTGTGAAAAAAAGAAATTAAAATTTCTTATGGCAGTTGCCCAGGAGAATATGATTTTTGTCAATACACAGTTTGACGCCCTGAGTTCCAGAGTGGCTATTTTAGCACTTGGTATCCGTTAATTGGACGTCCTGCATAGGGGGAAGGTGTATTATATTCAGCAGTAAAACTATAAAGAAAAGCGAGGGTCACTTTAGTATCTATTGGATACCTTTACAATATTTAGGAAGAGACCCACTTTCCTTTATAGTTATTTAATTAGTAGTGTATAGCTTATTTTCTACTTTTTAGAGCATTATTACATAAAAGCTTGTTATTAAAACGTTTTTTATGATTTTTTTTCAGTACTTTACATTTTTTATTTACAATAGAGTTGCATGATTAAAAACCATTCGCACCTAATGAACGTGATGATGCATGTATAATAGTGCGGAATAGTTGGACAAAATTTTAATTAATTCATAAAAAAATTAATTAGGCATCCAATTAAGTCAAATTTAATGTCAGAGTGCATTGTCTTCATTCCTTGACCCACATGCCAACGTTGAAACAAATCAATCAGAAGTGTTCGAAATTTAAGCAAAACATGAATAGCTTTATTTAATATTGTTCTAACCATACTGAAAATATATTCTAAACTATAGAAAAATTATAACTTGCTTTCTATTAAAATAATGTCATTAATGTTTTAAAAATCATGCAGGGTAAAATAAAACCTTAAAAAATAACTTGATCGTGACAACAGCTAACAAAGCCCACCCATTTTGCCAGCCGTGTATTTGAATAGGGAGAAATCTAGCAGACAACACAGTTCTGATGAACGATTAATCGCGTCACAAAAACACTCTTTTAAAAACTAACCCACCGTATCACTGAAAATCGGTCTTTATCATCGTAGCCATTTAAAAACAAACACGTTTTTTCACAAATCATTTTCTAGGCTACCGATTAAATAGGATAAATAAAATTGGTATAAAATTAAAGGTAAATTAATGTAGTTTTTAATTTTCAAAGTCATCATGAACAATAATATAATAAAGTTTAAAATCTTAGGCAACACCCTACAGGCGGCCGCCCAAGTGCGTTCTACCTCAGTATTACGGTGAGTGATTAACGTACACTCAAGGCTTTCATACAGCATGCCCCAGTAGTGTAGGTAAATCCAAAATCCCATAAATATGATCCAAGTGTAGGCATTGTTTACATTTAAATAACTCAGTTTTAGGAAACAAGGTCACATATCTAAGAACATAGGATTGGTAACGCATTGATGAACCCTCTAAAAAGATTGCGTCAGACTTTCTTCTCTACATAGCTGTCTTTATTTAAAACAACTGTAATGGTACTGGATTAACATTTTATTAAATAACTGATTTGAAATTTCACGAAAAAAATTTCAACCTTTTGGCAAAACAGTTCCTTCCGTAGCAACCTAAAAATTTTAATATTACACCCTATATTTTATTAACATTTTTTAATACTAAAATAAACATAAGACCATTCGCCAGCTCCCCCAATAAAAAATTGAAAATTTTTTTTCTCTTAACGCCCGCATTTATCTATCTATATCTATATTTAATTTTTAAATTTATATAAAGAAATTTCAAAACAGATACCTTTTCTTTCATATTATTGACAGTTTCTTTAACAGCCTCAACAAGTCCTTTATTTGAAACTTCATATAAGTTGTCTGAAAGAGATTTTAGCTCAGTTCTAAGGTTGGTGATTTTATTTAAGATACAGCATGCCTTTGCAGTTTTTGTAGTCTGATGAGATGACCCATCAGATGTATAGGTAACTTTTACTTGGTTCAGTAGACGTCGCAAGCCACCATTTTTCATATCTCTACAATGCGTAGAAAATGCGCCGACAGTTGATATGTCATACATTCTACCTGAAAAACAAATTATAAACAATGATCAAAACTTTTGACACCACACTTTATTCTAACCCCTCCCCTTCCTTTTTTAAAACTATATGTGGGTCAATATTTGACGAAGTGGTCTAGCGGTAGAGAGCTGGACTGCTAAGCTCTAAGTCTCGAGTTCGAATCGGGGTTCAAGTCAGTAGACCGTCCCTGAGTCCACCCAACTCTGATGGGTACCTAACTCACATCAAGGAGAGTAAAAGCGGCTGGGCATAGTGCTGACCACACTATCTCTTCACATGCCGAGGTCACAGAAACAAGTGAACTCTACTTCACTTGCTCCATAGACCGTCAGGTTTGAAAGGGAACTTTACTTTTACAATATTTGGTATACTGATTTTTAGAAAGCATGACTGAAGGTGCTGGGTGAGGTACATGATAATGTATAACCAGTTGATCAACTTAAGTGTGTAAGTCTTTAGAAACATTACTGGTTTATTATTAACCTTATAATACACCATGTATCTACCACAGCTGACTAACAAGGAATAAGCCCCTTAACTTTCCCAAACCCACCTTTTATAACCTACCTAATCTCAGTCATTACTCCAATACATGTCACTTCCCTCCCAATAGTTACTATGCTATAAGTATTGTGTACAGTTTAATTTTCATACAAGCCACAACCTAACAGACTATAGTTTGAAGGTTATATGCAAAAGGAACATTACTTTAAACATTCTCTTATTGTTTACACTACCTTCTATTATAATAATCTATCTAATACATTCATGACACTGAACATTTTTCTTTTAATTTACAAGAAGTCTTTATAAATTCAAAACGGCTTAAATTACTAAAATTCAGTTACAAAAATCACATTATACAATGTAAAACTTCCTGAACCATATTTCCCCACCCTCATCTCACCACACATCATGACAAGTCTGTTTCCCCCCCTACACCTTTCCTATAGAGCTTTGACTTTTTTAAGCATGGACAAATATTGTTAAATTTATACAGTAACTACCGCTGTTGGATTAGGCTTTGCTCAAGCCATTTATTGCCATGTCTGAATTTAAATTTTAATGCAGATATGCTTGTTTACTAAATGTTTTAAGGAAAATTAAAGAGCATTGCATAAAGCTATGATCAAAACAGCAATGGCTATTCTAAAATTACTTATCACCCACCATTCCTCAATAACATAGTTCGTTACACAAATATAATAAGCATCACAGTCAAATCATTAAAAATTAAACTGCTTGTTAATTACTTTCCCTATCCAGGTGACAACCCCATATGATACAATTAACATATTAAAAAATAAAATATCGGAATCGTATCATGTAAGAGTAAAGAGCTTTTTAAACTGTCACATCTAACAATTGCAACGTGTAACATGGATGCAAATGAAAAAAAAACAACAACAATGAAATAAATATAAGAAAGTGTAACATAACATTGCACACACACAGCATACTAACTTAACAATAAAAGCCACCAGTGCCTATTAAATGTTAAATAATATGTAGAGAGTTGCCAATAATGTTTTATTGTTGTTAATAAGCAAATAAACTAAAATGAAACAAAAAGTTTAACAGTAATGTGACATCCATTACCTGAGTGTAGGACATGCCTACCCAAACCCCCTCCCAGTATTAGTCCCAGATCAATTACCTCCTCTCAATTACCAACCTGTATAATTACCCCGCTTTAGAGTACATATTATACCAATACCTAGACCTGTCATTCAAATAGCCATCTCCCAATCCCTAACCCTGTTCCTAACCAAAATCTGATGCTTATCTTTCTCTATTATACAGTATGGTACTATATTGGTACTTGTTACACATGAATTATAGGCTTAAATATTTTAAGGTTATACTTGTTTGAGAAAAAATATTTTATAAAATAGTAATTGGTCAAAAGGCAATGTGCTTTACTTCACGTTTAACGTTATTAGTGACAAAGCAAAGAAATAACTAAATAGCTAAAAATCCGACAAATTTAAAATAACTTAGGCTACTAATGCCTATTAGAAAAACCAAATTATAACCATTATTGGTCAACAAAACACCATATTAAATGCACACACTGATTAAGAGACTAAAATGATTCCGTTAAAAAACTGTATACGTTTTTTTAAAAAATAATTTGTTTAAGTTTTGGCTGAGAAAATTGTATACATTTCATAGTGTAAGTCTTG